ACGTAGGTACGTAGGTACGTAGGCAGGTACGTAGGTAGACAGGTAGGTAGGTAGTGTGTTTTAGATAGAGGGCAGGAAGCAGCATAGGGAATAAATAAAGATAAATAAATCAGATGAACCCTTTCAATAGTTACCGARGGTTTTGTTTACAGCCTGAGTGGCAGAAAGCAGATGCCGTGTGCAGCTTGATAGGTGCTGTAATCGTAGTTGCAAGTACGTTTAGCGTCGTGAGAGATTCTATCAACATCTTATTTGAAGGTGAGTAAAAATAGCGGAAATGCGCATTATCAGTAATATGTACTAAATGCCAACAATAAGTATTGTGTAATGTGTAGTGATATATGGGATGGGATTGTTTAGCGTGTAGCGTGTAGCGTGTAGCGTGTAGCGTGTAGCGTGTAGGATGTATTGCGTAGCTTGTAGTGTAGTATGTAGTATGTAATTAATATAATGTAGTGTAATGTATGGTGAGTGGTAGTATAGTGTATGATTAAGTGTGTGGTTGGAGTTCGTAGTGCATAGTTTGTTACTAATTTATCGGGTATATAGTGTTTGGAACGTAGTGCCTGATGAGTGCTTATTTTATACTTTATGCGCCGCTGGTCAGCCAGACGTTTCTTCTCGACTGAGCTGATGTACTGAACACTGAGGCCGCAGTAGCCACCTAATCATAGCGATAAGAAATATTATCTATGATGCACCCTTTTATCTTTTTCTCCAAACAGGCATTCCTCGTAGTGTTCGAATAGCAGATATCAACCGAGATTTAAGCTCGATAGACCACGTGCAAGGTTATCACAATGTCCATTTYTGGGCAATAACCGCTGGAAGGAACGCCTTATCTGCACACCTGGTCGTAGGTACGTACCTWTTGTCAATCTGTAATCATCTCATTCATGTTTCTCCTTCAAACAGAACCCTTATTGGCCTTGGCAGAAACGAATGGCAAACTAGGCAAAGCAACTTGGGTAGGAATCGTTTAAACTATGTCGGCGAAATGCGAGCAAAACCAAAAAAGTTCTATATGTATTGAAATATAAAACAAAACAAGTTGTGCCCAACTCGTTCCTATCAAGGGCTTATGAAGTGGAAGTCAAAAACACCACGTGATGTAGAAAGGAGTCACGTGACGAAGTCCCCCATTATGCCTACATCCATACTAGATGCGGTAACTCTAGCAGATGTCAAATCAATTTCCATCCTTAAGTCTACAATGTCGCTGTGCTCAGTTAAAGTTATTTGACTGCCTGGTACATCCTGCCATTAATAACTGCCCTTTTTTCTGGTTCTAGATTCTCTTGCAGACGTAAATAGCACTTTAAGGAACGCTTCTAAGATGCTGTCGTCCAAATACAGCCTGTATCACTGTACGCTTCAGATAGAACAGCAAGAAAACAAGACAGGGATCCCAGCTGAATCAAAAGGCGACTGCTAGCATGATGTTCGCATAAGGAAACATTTCTGTAAAATTATACTCTTTACTCTTCATTAAAGAAGCTCAGCTAAATCAAAGTAAAACCATTAATAATATTTTGTTAGTTGCTGGTTCGTTTTTTTGCTTGATAAAGACGATGTCTGTTCCTTGTTGTATGTAAATTTAATCAGATTTCCTTTTTGTCCATGTGTTCATGAGAGGTGAAGATCGCCGTAGCATTTCAAAGCAGGTCACACACGTTTTCTTGTTCGTTCAATTTATTATGCAAGGATATCATACTAGGACTAAACTCGAAAGATTTCAAAACAAGGCGACCTAAACAGATATCAAAACCCCCAGTTAGACTCAAGCGTTCCAAGGGAAGGAGGGCGGGGGTAGGAATGAAGATAACTGTTAAACAAAAATTAAGAATCAGCACCCGCCCCCTCTACAAATTGAAATAGGAAGATGCGCGCGCTCACATATATTAAGAGCAGAAGAAAGAATACGCCAAATATGTAGCCTCGGAGTAAAAGACGAAAAGYACTTTGTTTCTAGCATGTCCATGTTACTCCAATGAAAGGGGTGCAAGTGAAAGTTAAATATTAACCTCGAGAACATGAATGAAGACGGAAAATTTCTTATCATCATAATTCCAAAGCATAGTATAGAAGTAATAAATTATGCGTTCGGTGTAYATATAATGAAGTAGAGAGAATAAGAGAAAAATATCAAATGCCCTTGGCAGGATAATTCCAAGGCAGTCCATTMAAAAGATTGTCGCAAAATTTGTTCATGAAATGCTTCGAAAAAAGAAAAACTAATTATTACAGCGGGCTGTTGGTGGGTGCTGATATTTAACAATTATTCACTGAAGGCAAAGTGAATATCAGGAAATGTTTACCGAGACGTGGGTCTTCGAGCAGCGAGGTAAATATTCTCCGATATTCACTGAGCCTGAGTGAATTTGATAAAATRACGAAGAGAGAGTTTTTTTTCAAATTATGCTTATCTCTGTAAGCGGCATAAATCGACAAACAAGCGTGCGCGTGCGCGTTGCATTCACCTGTAGGTAAATATAACAGCATAAGACGTAAATTGTGACCAATGAGCGCGCCGGATTTATAATATTCACTCGTGTAAAAATACTAATGGTTATTATTAATATATTATATTGTTATAGACTCCAATTGTTGTGTTGTGTTGTGTTGTCTATGAAGGTGTAAAAGGTGATAAGGAATTAAAAGTAAAAAAGAACAGTGTCTAGTTTTTCAAAAGGCATCAGGATCCCACATTGAAAGGTTAGCCCCATGCGATATGTCAGGCTGTGTCTGCTGGTCATAGCAAGGGTTTCATCATCTACGGTCTAGGGGCCGACTAAACTCTCCCTTAGGCTTCGGATGAGATACCTGATCAGCCTGTAAATCCAGGGATAGCGGTGTCGGTGTCGKGCCGAAATCTCCGGCAAAGCCGTAAATGCTTCGCGCTGTCATACGACGCTTCAGCACTCGATGTGTAAAGATGAAAATTAAATAAAGCAACAAAACTAGTAAAGAAAGTTTCTCTAGTTCTCTAGCAGATAAACTTTTGAGCGTCTAGTTTTTCGAATGGCATTCCACATTTAGCACTAGTTTATTATAAGAGTTTTTCATGGATTTATCGCTTGCAGCTAATACGAAATAACCTATATTTTCTTATGCAATAATTGTGATTCAACTATATATTTTAGTGATTGATTCAGAATTCGTGCGTAAATTGAAATTTTGATCCCTGATCCCAAGCATTTTGGCACACAAATTCTGAAATGTGAAAATAACCTTTCGATCCCAGAAATAATTCCTTGGATCGATTGAATGATAAGATCCGGATCCCTTGGACAGGACAACAATGATGATGTTGTTATGACTCAAGGGTGCAACATGTTCGACACAAGTTAACCCGAACACAAACGAGGGCTGCGATATATCGAAATTTTTTTTTTCTTGATTAAAATAAGGTTCAGTTACGTGTGTAAACACACACAAGTAGAAAGACTTGTTTTGACAAGGTTGTAGCCGCAGTTGTAATTTTACAATGAAGATATAATGGATGTGTACTAGAATATCCAAATCTGAGTTCTGAAAGTCGAGCAAGTATTTAGTCATGAAGAAATATTTTTATGAAGAAAGGTTAAACTCCGGCCATGTGAAAATACGTAATTCAAGGCAGTGTACAGAACCGGCCTGACTCAATTAATTGAAGGTTAATCTCTCCAAATATTATCAGACCACAGACGACAGATAAAGTTTTTTTTATAGGGGGAGGGGAGGAATATTTTCAGAAGTCAATCATAAGTCAATGTCGCCGCTCCAAGCGCCATGTGATTTTGACTTCCTGAGTGAAGTTGAGCATTTCAAAATAAGGTCAAATCTTTTCTTTGCAAATTTTGAATACGTAATGATATCATACACTTGAACGATTTGTAAACAAAGAGCTGGCCACACATCACACCGATCTCCAACAACTCGACTGTGACACGAAGTTTTTAACGGTTTACCGTACTGAGAAAARATCAACTAGTGGCGCGCTTAAAACAATGAAGACATTATCATAAAACTTAATCCCAAATGACAAGAAACTACGACTGAAATCTGCTTTGAGGAGCCTAAAATCCTAAAACTGTTCATTTTAACCTTGAAAAGATAGATGAAAATATTACCGTTAAAATTTGAACGAGACAGATACAGCAGGGATGGCGTCTTTTTTTCAATGAACCCGATTTTCAAGCTTGAAGTAACTTGGAAAAGTTTCTAAGAACTTTGTCGCTTGCTCAACACAAGATAAACTATATATGTTTCCTGAAGGTAGGCCTATCTAACTTTTATTATAAATATAATATTTAATTTTATAGAATAGTTTAGTCACTTTATCATAGTTTTATTCAAATTAGTCAACATTTTTCTTTTCAATMATGAATAAGAATCCCTGGAATAGATGAAATTTTATTCGTTTTACATTTTTCGACATCCCTAAAAGTTTCTAGAAAAAATGTCATCAAAGGCTTCAAGTCGTTATTTCTAAACCGTTTCCAAAATAGGAAATTTGATGTTTCATATATCCAAACAACACATTCTGTACAAACAGTATATTGACTGACGTATATTGATCGACATAATTTGAGCATCACTCATTTGCTAATAGATTATGATGGCCACATCTACTTATTTGTGATTTGATTCATTCGTCTTTTTATGTCTATACATCGCATCCTTATACGTTCCATTTTCGAAGCTATATAAATTGTGCAAGAGGCTGCTGAAGCAGGTTGAGCTTAGGGTTCTTTTTGACAATAATTTAGACACGCGCGCGCCATTTGACCAACACTATGTTGACCAATTTAAAAAAGGCGGGAACTGAGAAAACTGAGAGCAAAATGACTAGATTTYCTTTGAATTTCTCAAATCGAAACTGCACAGCTTTGTCAGTTGTGGAGTTTTAGGGGTTGAAAGATTAATTGTGTTTTTYACAGTTGATCAATAATCCTTGGACAAACAATAATGATGATGAGTTAGATTGATTTTGCGCCGATACTCAATTCAATGAACATAAATTATCTTCGCTATAATGGTCGAAGAAATGGCGGGAAAAAGTCGTTTATATTCATTGTTAGACATTTCATGAAATCTCTTTTTCATTAATGGGTATGCCGTACAGCTGATCGAGGGTGACAGTTTACTAACTAGCATAAAGCAAGCACCTTGACACAAAAGCCCCTGAGGATCAAAAACTCCCCTGAACTAGATCATAGACAGGTTGAGACAGGTTATGGTGTTAAGCTCGAGATTTGTTGACATTTTCATTTTCTATATGGACTAGTTTTAAAAGAAAAAATCCATCAACTAATTTGGTTTTTAAGGGCCATGAGTAGCAGTCCTGATGACACCCCTGAGATAAAGAAATACCATGAGGAAAAAAATTAATTTGATAACGCGCGTTTAAAAAAAAAACAAACTATATTTTTACTAGATCGTACAAGCCAACACAATCAAACACAAAGCCGAAGTTATCGTTTTCTTAAATCTAATTTGCATTCTTGATTCTTTTTTCTTTTCAAATACTAACCACTTGCAGTGTTTATGACCGGATTTCAGAGCCGATACGGACGAATGGCTGACCTAAGATTCTTTTCTAAAGTCTCCCTCTGTTGTCCTCAGACGGAAAGCGCAAAAACACTTCCGAGATTCGGAAACTCAAAGCTCAGATAAGTTTTCGAACRCAGGAAATTACTTGGAAAGTGTATTCTACTTTTAGTCTCATGAAGGGGATTGATGTGATGAGAGGAAATTACAGTCTTGAAGGCGGTAGACAGGTGAAATTCGATTATTGGACAGTTTGGGACGTATTCAGTATGGAACTCTTGCAAACATACCAGTTTTTTTTTACTTATTATTGATAACATATTGATACTGTATCTGAAATTGTCTTTGGTATATAGTTTCTAGATTAGGAGGGAAACAATGGTAATCATACGATCAAGTGTTATTGCTAACATTATTGAATTTGGAAGGTTTGTTCGTGGGAGAAAACCATTTCCATCTTGTATATGGAAGTGCATGCAATGTGTGGGTTTTCTTGGTGTGCATCATTTACGTTACTTCCGTTTTTTGCCCACGATGGGATGTGAACTCGCACCAAACTATTCTGCCTTACCTTGATAGGCTAGCGAGGAAAAAACTTTATAAGATAGTAGTAATAATTGGAAATTAAAAGAAAGTATCGAGTAAGGCATRCATGCTAGAGTGAAAGACAGAAAAATAGCAATAAGGGAAAGAAAGGTAAAATATGCCTAGGAACACGGAACAAGTAAAAGGAAACTAAATAATTCAGACCTGAGCATCAATACTAGAAGGACTTTCGGGGGGCGGTTCTGCTGTCGCCTCCTGTCACATGCTCGTCTTTTTCTTTTCTTTCTTGTGCTGTGTTGATGGTAATTTCTGTTAGGCGTAAGGTGTGTTTATTATTTATTATTATTTTATTTAGTACTTAGGTTTTTGGTGACGAAATCAATAAAATAATAATAATAATAATAACAATAATAATAAAAAGAACTGACCAACTTATCTGTAACATTTTCCCAACAGACGTACGCCAGACAGCGGTGATTATTCATGCACAAATACCTGCTGATAACCGGTGTGTTTGTCATCGTATTAGTCCTGTTTTTCACCTTCGCCTATTTTGCTCTAAAGAGCGCCGGAAAGACGCGGAGTCCATCCAGTTTTTGGAATCACGATAAAGATACAAAGCCTGATCTAGACTGGGATAACTTTGATTGCTTCCAGTCGTCTTATTACGGCAAACCAAGAATTTTTGAAGCTCAATGTATTTCTGTTCAACCGCGAACTTACGAAGACTTACAGAAGGTACGTAGATCTAAATTAACAAGAAGACCTGTGGCCCCAATGATTTAATTGTTTTAGTGTATGAACCTACAAACAATTTTGAAATTAGGTTGAATGAAAAWTTTATTTTTCGCCTATTTCTCGGTACTTTTCGATACAAGCCAATCAGAGCGCAGGATTCGTGATAGACCATTAGTAGGTTTATACTAATGTCTATTRAATTGGGGGGAGGGGGTGCATGCAGAGAACTCAAACTAGAATATCGCTATATTATATTAGATTTGTCTACCGTATACTGGTAATTATACTATAATAGTAGCACTGATTCAAGAAGCAGTGACTAAGATGGAGATAGACAATGTAAGTACAATCAAAGGTATTATTTCTATCTTTGAAAACAGAGTGAAGAAAAGCTAGCAGACAGCTCATCATCTGCCAGTGCTAATGAGGACAATTCCAGTGAAGCCTGCAAACTGAAGTTTACTTTACAGTATAACACTGTCAGGTAGGAATGCGCATTATTCCTTTACTCTATACACTAATATATAACTTAATATACCTGTAATATACAGTATAACATTGTCAGGTAGGAATGTACATTATTCCTTTACTCTATACACTAATATATACCTTAATATACCTGTAATATACAGTATAACACTGTCAGGTNGGAATGTACATTATTCCTTTACTCTATACACTAATATATACCTTAATATACCTGTAATATACAGTATAACACTGTCAGGTAGGAATGCGCATTATTCCTTTACTCTATTTGTTTTCCTGTAGTTCAACTTTGGTCGTTCATCTTCTTGCTGCTAAGCATCTGGTCCAGCAAGAAAATGCCGGCGCCGCTGCTTATTACGTCATGATGAAAATCATCCCACAGACTCATCGTACGTTTCRCACACGTGCCATCAAAAGTGGAGCACCTCTAGAATTCAACGAAATATTCRAATTTCAAGTTAATGAACAAGACTTGCTTCAACAAAATCTTAAAGTGATATTGTGTTTCTTCGATCGCTTCTCCCACCATGGCGTCATAGGAGAACTTAGAGTGGATCTCGCTGACCTTGAATCTCGAGGGCTCACGTTGTCGAGAGAAATTTTACTTTGTAAGAAAATAAACAGAATACATAAGGTAAGTCTAAAACAAATCGTATTTGGGTTCTCATCTGACATTATTGGAGAGAGGAATGAAAGGTATGGTTTTTGTTCATGACCTATATTCATTCAACATCATCATTTATGATTTTTTCCTCATAGGTCCTTTTTTTTCTTCTGTATTCTGTTTTCATCTTTTTCGTTTTATTATTTTTTTCTTTTCACATGTTTCTGCTGTTCTTGTTTTCGTCTCTTTCATTTTTCTTTGTTTTTCTTGTTGTCTGTGCTGCCAGAAGTCGCCAGTCACAGGAGCTGAGATCATGTTGTCATTGGGTTACCTTAGACTAACTGAAAGACTTGCTGTTGTTGTAATTGCTGCCAAAAATCTACCAACGCTCGACACAGGACGACCACCAGGTAAAAATAAAGAGAGTTCGAGGGTTGGGGACGATTAAGCATGCGCGTTTTGGCGGGAACATTACCGCCAAATGCACATGAGGCTGCATCAATAAAACCATTTACTCTAAAATAGCTTTTCTCGTCTCCAGCATAGAAGAATATATACAATTATTCAAAAAAATTGACTTCTCTTGCGAAAAGAATGGATAAAATGCGACCGCCTTCCCCCTACTCAAAACACTGTTGGGATCTTGTCTTCGGCGCTGCAAATAAAAATCTCGATGCCGTATGCGTGCGTTGCGCAGCCCAACAAAACCGCAGCGATCAAATGAGGGGCAGCGTCTGGACTATGCTGTAACCGTGATGTAATTTTCTAAACTTTTGCTCTTTTGATTCTTTTTTCGCGCAATGTAAGTGGTCTGGCTGTGCCATTACCTTGGCGTGACCGTTGTTTAGGTATTTGATTGGATGGAGAGTAAATTATCGCGCAATGTGACTGGCCTTGCGCACAGTGCCTTGCCGTGTAACGCCGGACTGCGTTCGTGCCGCCAACTTTTCACGATCATACTCGAAAGCTACTCTGATATCGTGCTGACTGACCAGGGTGATATTTAAAAATTATCCGCAGAAGGCTAAGTATATAAGGAACGGTCTATTTGATTTTGATTGGGGGGGGGGGGGGGGGGGGGGGGGCCCTCGAACAGTCAGCAGCGCGCGCTATTTTCTATAAGCACCTGGTTAATGACTAAAAGGTATTATAATCCTGGGTTCATGTTATCTGTCGTAGATCCATATGTTGAAGTAAGACTACAACATGGCGGCCGTCTCCTCAAACAAAAGAAAACACATCGTAAAATCAAAGATTGCAATCCCGTATTCAATGAAAGCTTAACGTTCCATATCCCACATGGTATTCTACACCAATCATCCTTAATAATTTGTATGAAGCATGAAGATGACAGTGATAGGGATATTCAGTTAGGCCAAGTCTTCCTCGGCCCTGAAGCGACGGGGCTTCAGTTCGAGCACTGGAACGAAATGAGGGTGAACAATAAACCAGTAGCAAGATGGCACAAGCTGCAATCCACATAATGAATCAATGAATCAATGAATCTATTCGTTTTAATAAATTGGAAAATATTTTGCTTCTGTTTTAGTTGCGCATTTCCAAACAAGAGTCAGCAGCACTATTGCAGATTTTTATTTAATGATTTCGAGAATAAGTAAAAAAAGGCTGCACCTGGATTCTTGGAGCTGAAAATAACTCCGGAATTACTTCTATTTGGATAGATTTGCACGCCCTTCATCGCAGTACAGAGACATAAGCAGCCTTCTTATTTTAATTATATAAAATATTTTTGAACGACTTTGCATGAGCGTGTCATGTGCCTCGTGCCAGATGGCACATAATGCCTCATTAGATAGTTAAATTAATAAATATATACGGAAATATTATTGGGAATCATAAGGTTTCAATTACTGGATATGTAATTCAAGGTTAAATAAAAGGGAAAAGGTAAATAAAGGGTATAGAATTGAAAATAGAGTTGCTTTTTGCCAGTGTTCTTTTCATTGTTATATGTCAAATTTTGGTCAGTCTCCCAAGATATTCATGGCTTACAGCAGGAARCACTGAGTAGGGAAGATGATAGATTCAACGCCGCCGTGATCACGCTCCTGTCCAATCCCGTTCTTAGAGCTCGTTCAAGGTATACTCACTGAATACACAGTTTTATCAACGACGGGACTAGTTTTTTTATTTTGCAAATATCAAATTTATCTCTTCTAAAAAAGACGCACACAAAAAGTTGGTTTTAGTGCATTTGAGGGTCACATGTTACGATAACTTTCGTGTAATTCTACACATATAATCGTTCTTGTACATGTATTTAGACGGAGGTCTCAATGCCTTTACAGTAGAATGCTCAAGAAATAATAATAATAATCACAGGTAGCCCAAGCTTGGTTTCTGTGGTGTCCTGTTATAAGGAAATATATGGGGATTCATCAAAAATTTCAATAAAATCATCTAAACGTGAAATAAAGCCTTGAAATTTTACCCGATCATTGAGAAATAGCACTTCTTTCGCTCTGCGTGGTTAGTTTTGAATTTAGCCCGTTTTAAGATTTTTTCCCCCACCAGTAAGAAATAAGAGAATCTCTAAGTGCTATTTCTCAATGATCGGGTAAAATTTCGAGGCTTTATTTCACGTTTCAATGATTTTATTAAAAATTTTGATGAATCCCCATATATTTCCTTATAACAGGACACCACAGAAACCAAGCTTGGGCTACCTGTGTAATAATCATAAACGAAGTAGCATAGAAAATAAAAATCTTTAGCTTTTGCTTCTTTTACTGGAGCGAAGGCTGGGAGTAGGTTTATAAGGCTGGAGTAGTTCAGTGATAAAGTGAGGAGCGAGGTCATTGAGTGCTTTGTATGTAGTTAGCAGAATTTTGTTGAAGACTATTTTTGGTCAACTGGGAGCCAGTGAAACTTTCTACTTCCTACCCTGTCTTCAAATCAAGAGGTTCTTCCTATATCGGTGTCTGACTGCGATCTTTTGGTCAACGTGACGTGGGAGTGTCATCCTTAGACTCCCCTCCTAGTTGCGTCATCACCATGTTTGAATCCATACAAGGACTGCGAAGAAACAAGCTCCTAATGCAGTTGAACGAACTGCAGCGAAATGACCGCCTGAGCAGTCGCGATATTCTTAATAAAAGTGATGCCAGTATAACAGTTGAGAGAGATGTGGCCAAATGGGTAGGGTGTTTGTTCAGCAACCATTACAAATATTTCAAACATAAAGAATTGAAAAAGTAAAAATATGGAAGAAAGAAGGTTGAACTGAACCACTGTAAGTCATCGCTCTCAACTGGAGGAAGCCGGAAGCCACGTTCTGTCACCTTATCATATGGATATTGTCGTCACCAAATGGAAGATCTGTGTACTAAGTAAGATTTATAAAGATTTCTTGTTGGTAACAATTAAATTCAATCAAATTCGAGCTATTTAAGAAAAGATATGTAAACCTCAACCGGATGTTCTGGTGAACCAATAGTATTGTAGCTAGCAAAGGTCATGACTCATTATAGCCGTAAGCCTTCCAAGGAATGTTGTTTGACACCAGACTCCCCGAACTAAAGTAGGCTTTGATGACATGCAACTCATATCTGTAATACTTGCCTTTGCACTTCATTATTTCACGTCAACTTCATGATGGAACATTGTTCGTCAAAGCGTCCGTATTTGTACAGACAGTAAGTGCGATTCTAGTGTTGGATTYCCAAAGCATCTGTTACAATTCTTTAACAGATTTCTCGTCCAACTCGTCGTTGAACAAGGCAAGTATATCACTCAAAATTAATCCAAATCGTCAAGGTAAATTTTGTTTTCGATTTGTCAGACATAGAAAGGACGGTAGTTAATGAAGCATAGTCGAGCAGAGGACTTGCCAGTGCCTGTTGCTAAGCTCGATTGCTGACATATTAAACAATACGGCTTGTATCCAAAAGAATACAATCTTGATTTACATATCTGTTATATCTGTAAAGGTAGTTGAGCTCGAATGATTAACAGATAAAGTATTTGGCAAGATAAGGACGTCAAGAACTGAAACAACAACATCGTGTTGGATAAACACGATAGCTGACTAACAGTTAAGAGAAATGCACGTTCATCGACATTTCTTCAACCTATTAAAGTGAAATTTTCACTTTCTCTATAAAGTGAATTAAAATTGTGTACATCTATAAATATCGCTCTATTAGGTACCGAGTACCATGCTACTCTAGTGAATTAGAACTGATATTTATATAATGGTTCTTATTCTTCCTCGAGGCCATGTTTCTTATTCAACCCTTCCTGGTATGTATTTTGATTAGAATATGTACAATTCTTTAACAGAGAGAAGGATTTTCCTTCACCGGTTTTTTCTCAGTGTTGTTTATTTGCTTGTTCGTTGTTACGATAGAATCAATTAAAAATCAATGTTAAACACAAACAAAGGCCTAAAAAGATACACCTAATTGCAAGAAAGTTGTCACAAAAATAACAAAATCACAAAATAACAATAAGGAATTAATTATTTTTAAAGTAAAACAAGAGTAATTATTTCACGGCTTTGAAGGTATAGACTGACATTTTTGGTATTACAGATCAACAGATATTCTCAACAATCTAGGGGGCTTTAAAATCGAATTAAAATCATAATCTATAACTTATTCCTATTCGTTATTTTGTACTATTTTACAAAACATTTTTTTGTTATATTTGTAATTAGGTGTCGGTTTAGAGAAAAAATGCCGGTGTAAAAAGCAAAAATCAACAGTAATTTAAGTACAGGATTTTTAAAACCCAGCAAAACATTAAAACTATATGTAAGGAAAGAAGATAGTAAATATTTTGAATAACCTATAAGCGTCTGGACTGAAGGTTTATGTACAAAATGGTACGTTTGTGCCGGTATAAAAGAAACTTCAATACATAAATGTAACTCTAAACAAAAACACATATTAAGGAAGGCGACCTTTTTTTCGACTGAAGTATATCTACACAACATTAATCAAAAAGGCGGGAATATTTGGCGGGAAAGTGAAATAAAGTAACCAATAAAGAATAGGTCTCTTCATCAAAGTCAAGGCCGTTTTTTTTTACAAAGGACTCAAGCATACCAGGCACAAGCTTTGTCTTCATCATTCTAGAAAACAATACTTCCAGTTTTTGTTTAAGTAAACAAAGTAAAGAAAGTCTTATATGTTAGRAAGAGCTTCACGTTCACCTTGTAGAGCATCAGTTCGACCCCCCTTCTAACGCTGGACCATGAAATCAAATATTGGAGAGACAAAATTGTTCCAAAATTTACTTGAAGAAAAATCAGAGTTCAAACGATATATCTGTGAAATAGTACTAACTAATTAGAACAAAATAGCACCAATGAAACAGATGTGTTTCAGTAGATGCGTTTCAGTAGTGCTTTTTCACGGATGTCTGGTTTGCACACTAGTTTAAAAACTTCAGTTGATCACAATATTCTAAAATCTTAATTTTYCTTTTCGTTTTCTTGAATCTTTCTGTATAATCTCACTTAATCTTCGATCTTTGTTCGAGCTTTATTACTCCATCTAGTCACGTATCAATCGAAGTATAGCGAGCAGGAATAATAGTCAACCCATGGAATTGATTGTCAAAAGTCATATTCTTAACAAATATGTATGTTTGGTCAAAACCAATGTAAACAAGGTTTTCAAAATTGCAACCGTTGAAGTACACACAAAAATTYAAAACAAGTTTTAATGTGTGCGGTTAAGCATTACCACCATCAGTCAAGTGAATCAATCAAAAGCTTTTCAAAGTTTTCTGATTGGCTAAGCGTGTCAGTTTTAAATCTTGCTCTACTGAYGGACACACAAACAACCTATTAATATATGGACGTTATGATTTTGCAATTCAAATGCATGCAACAACGTTTAAACTCGATTCACGATTTAGCAACAACGACTTGTAAACTCGAAAAAATGTAATCCTCTCAAATAATAATCTAACACTTGATATGCAGAACAACTTGATAAAGGCTCAAATGTGGATCATAAATGGTATGCATATGGATACACAAATGATGGGAATTTGAAACTATTATTGTTGGTTAATTCCGCATGTTTACTGCTCTTATAATAGAGAGCACCTCAAGTTGTCAAATTCCGGACGTTTTCTTGGGCTCAAGTTAGTACTGACTCGTGTGTTGGAGGCAAAGTTTCGATGGAAATTTTCTTTTCACGTGAGAACGTAGTCCACATTTTACTGCTCAACTTCAACAATTTTGAATATGACTTTTGAGTCAAAAAGGCTAACGGAAATTCCATTCAATGCCATTTTATTTATTTCACAAATATTTATTTTCAAATGATGTCATTCTTATAACTGTATTGTGATTTTCGTTTGGTATTTCTGTTTTCCGGGATACCGGAATTATTTTTAACATTGTCAGTGATTTTATCGATTATAGTCGTCTCAAATGCAGAAGGTATTAATTTTTGATTATTCTAGTGATTATGACTGAATAAAAATCATGAAGATTCAGCCTGATCATAAAGACATAATTATTATTCAAATAAATCTATAATATTATTCAAATAAGTACATTCTATATCTGTCATTTTTATCTTAAAAGCCGGTTATTGCAGCGGCTTAATAGTTTTATTTTGACATTTTTCCTTACGTCAACAGAACTAAAACACAAACATTTCCAGTATTGGTCTTGTTGACTTAAGAAGATACCGCCAAAATTCGAAGACATGAAACGGCGACTCTGGTAATATAGGTAAGAAAAACTTCCATCAACTTTCTAAAATGCTATATTTGGACTTGTGGAAACACTCGTAAACGTTAAACTATTGGTTTTAGTTGAGTGATCCTCTGAGAACCGTAACTTGACGTTATCATACATCCTGGTGATATTGCTGACTACCTTAATTATTCATAGAATGTGTGATAGCGTGCTCAGGGTGACTGCGCGTGGTACCCGGTAATACGTAACACATTAATCTTGGTTATTGTTGCTTGAATCATTTGGACATAAAAGGGATGTACGTTTGCCTTTTGCAGTTTTTGGAAAAAGKTACACACACATGTGTACTCCCAGTTTCTCTCTTCATACATTTTGCCAAAAACCGTACTTTGTACAAAGGCTAGTTGCCAGGAATGCTCAAAAACCTGTTTTTTCATCCTCTGCCTATAGTGCTTCYATTTCATTATTTTTATTTACGCACTCAGCATTTTGCTTAATAAAGAAAGACAGCAGGTCCATACAACTAAACTGAAAGTGTTGACGTAAGCAAAATAGTGAGAAAATGAAAATCTCAAGGTCCGTATTTAAAGRTATATTTAAGGTATAGTCAAACTCAGTGTGAGATGAACATATTGTTTTGTTGCATATCTTCCCTCGGTTTTGTGTGCAGATTGACGTCTTAACTTCATAGTTGTATGTTGGACATATTATACGGTCAGACGTTAGAACGTTTCCCGTATTACCTGTCACATAGTCATCA